GTTCCCGCGGCGCCCCCTCCCGGCTTAGAGGCGCCAAGCCGGGGTAGGGGGCGGTGGGAGTCCTCACGACCCCCACCCCGCGCTAACTCATAAGTTGCGGGACGAGCGGACGCCCAGGGACTGTCCTCGGGTTGGAGGGAAATCAGGACTCGGCCGAGAACTCTCGCGCCCTGGGCTGCCTCCCCGTCCCCGCCACCTGGCCGAAAGCACCCAGCTGGGGGCTGTTAGGCGCACTCGGGTTCCCCTCTCGCGGCTTCCAGCCCAGCGTCAGGGGAGAGCGCCCCCTTCCGCACGGCTACTGGCGGAACGGGGATAATTGGCTCAGCGTATTCCTCCCCACCCCGTCTAGTCGAGGCGGGGCGGCAGGTGGGTGCCCAGGTGGGACAGCCTCCTCTTGAATCGCGCTCCTACAAGACAGTCGGAGTCGGGCTGAGGCCTGGATGCCCCGCATGTAACCAAGACGTGGGGCGACCGAGCCGCCGGAGGGCTCCGGGCGCAGCTGCTGCTCAGCGCGCGCTCGCGGCGACACCTGGCGGGCGCGGCCGGCGGTGCAGCTTGGCCTCTCTCCCAGGGACAGCGTCCGGGCTGACCAGCCGTCCTGATCCCTTCCTGTGATATTCCCCAGTCCCGGGAGCGAGGGGCTGTTGGACTCAAGTTTCAGGTGAAGGAATTGAGGCTCACGGACGCGAAGGTGTTTTCCCAGTCACCAGCTGGTGAGTGGCAGGGCCAATTGGATACAAGGCCCACCTGACTCTAGTGAAAGCCCCTCCCGCCTGCCTGTCTTTCTTAATTGCTCTTCTAAACCACGCACGTTCCCTGAAAACCACGATTCATGCGTTCATTCCCATTCTACAGATGTCTGTGCCAGGCACCATGGTGGGCACCGCAGATGCGGTAAGGAACAAAGACAATACCCTTCTCTCTGGAGCTGGTGAGGGAGGCAGACCAGAGATCAACAGATACGTAACTGCAGATGTCACAGGTGCCAGTGAGGATGGTAACACGGGGTGGTGGGAGAGACAGCGCTGGGTGCTGGAGGGCTGGCTCCAGATCTAAGAGGTGGCGTCCCAGCCGAGACCTACAGGACACGGAGCTGAGGGCCCGCCCTGCAGGAAGGCGGGCAGCAGCGCCGAAGTCAGGGGTGGGTGTGTGCGCCAGGAGGGGACAAGGACTGTGCTGGAGAAGGAGAAAGAAGGCCAGCAGGGCAGCAGGGAGGAGGTGGGGGTGTGCCGATCCCACAGAGCCTGCTGGGCACCTCGGGGAGCCTGGCTTTCAGTGGGAAGCCTGGCAGGAAGACACTGGAAGGATGCATAGAAAGGGAGACTCATCTGATTCGTGTGCTTGAAAGCTGCCCTGTGGCGAGTCCACCAGGGCGACGGAGAGGACTGGGCAAAGCGGCCCAGACCAGAGGGGAGACTGCCCCGTGGCCCGGGGTCCAGACACGGGGCGTTTTGGTGGGTATGGCCTCTCAGAGGTGGGTTCTCTGTGTCCCCCTGCTTGAATCCAGGTGGGCTTGTGAGGGCTTTGACAGAAGTGACACCCCTTCCCTCTTGTCATCTGGAACACTCCTCTGCAGCCCTGAACCACCAGGGGAGGAGGCTGTGGGCTGCCATCTGCAAGGAAGCTCAGGCGTATGGAGAGGCCATGGTGGGCGTTCCAGCCCATGGTCCCAGTTGAGGCCAGTGCTGGAAGTGGCAGACGTGTGGGGGGTGACACCATCGGATTTGTGTTTCAGAAGGCTTGTGGCAGCTGTTATGGGGACCAAAAGAGGGGGCAGGAGGTCTCAACAGTCATCGAGAGAGAAGAGGCTCAGCCTGGACAAGGGTCAGGGAGAGACGTGGATGGACTTGAGAGCTGGTCTGAAGGCAGAGTGGATGGGATGAGGAGGCCCAGGGATGGGACAGTGTGGCAGAGATGGGCCAGGGAGGAGCTGCTGTGAGGTGGATGAACTTAGTTTTGGAGGTGCTGAGTTTAATTGTCTGGAGGTTACTGAAGGGGCAGGTGAATGTGTACTTTGGGAACTTAGGAGGGAGGGGGACTGGGGTCGCCACAACTAGGAGTGGGCAGTTGTTCCAGCCAAGGCGGGGATGGGAAGCCAAGGGGCTGGTCGAGGGGAGCCCCAGGGCCTTAGCACGACTTAAAGAAGCAGCTGGGAACAGGAGCAGCTGGAGGCAACAGACCACAACTGGCTGGAGGGGCTGGAAGTTACTGCAAGAGCTGGAGGAGTGAGGAGCTTGCAGGGCCAGATCCTGCTGGGCAGGCGAGGACTGAGAAGGGTGCCAGCATATTTCCCCGGCCTCTGAAGCTCCTTACAGTCTGGCTCCAAACTGCCTCCCAGCCTCCATGTTTCCCCGAATCCCCTGAGCCTGTATCACAACAGATTAGGGTTGCCACGAACATTTCCCGAACGGAAATTGACCAGAAAAGAACACTGTACATGATAAGGCTCCAAAGGAGTGTAGTGTGTGGGGGGGTTATATATCGTGGCTTGTGATAAAAAGTAAAGCTGCGGAACTGCTCCTCACCTGTTACTCCTTTGCCCCTGCCCGGAATGCCATCACCCCTTCTCCACCCGCAACTCCCAACTTGTCCTTCAAGGCCCACCCGGCGTGAGCGCATCTGAATAGCCTTCCCTGGTTAACCTCGCCTCTGTCCTGGGCACTTGGTCACTCCTCATTTATTCATTCATCACACGTGCCTTGAAGGTTGCCTTGCGCCAGGCCCCGTGCTGGGTGTGGGGCCCAGCAGGCGTGACCCCCTCCTTTGAGGGGAACAGATTTTAATACGCTTCTTCCCTTGTGCTCCATGCCCCAGGGCTGCCCTGGCAGAGCCCTTCCCACCCACATGCTGTCTGGGCTCCTGTCTCTCCCACCTCCATGAGCTCCATGTCAGGATGCTGTCTCCCTATCGCTGTGTCCCCAGCACCAGGCACAGGGCTCATATCAGCTGAGGACTGAGGCCTGACAGAAGACCATAGACTTTGGGATCAAATAAGCCTGACCCTGAGTCCCAGCCCTGCCCCTTAATAGCTGCGTGAGTCATGACCGTTGTTTTTTTTAAAAATTTGATCCCCAAGGGGTAGCTGTATCTGATTCATTCCAAGACCTGGAACCAGGTGTAACAGTTTTGTTCTTCCGTGGGACCCACTGCAGAAAGTTCTCCTTGGGCAGAGCAGTGCTAGCCAGCGTTTCTCTCTCTCAGATTGTCTCCCTCTGCTTTAATCAAGGGAGGAGAGGGCACCTGGGTTCAGCAGGTGTCCCACACCCAGCGTGGGGCAGGGTCCGGGGCGCCCCCTGCTGGAGGCAGAGAGAGGCTGCTTAGCTCCCAAGGGCTGCATTGATGGAAGTTAACACGATTTTGGTTGGCTGGTAGTCGACTCTGCTCTAAGCGTGGGCTCTGGAGGGGTCAGATGCTGGCTCCACGTCTATCTCTGTGGTTTCGGGGACGATACTTCCATCGCTTCTTGCTTCACCTGTGAACTGGGAGTGGTAACCAATTCTACCTCGTTAGGGTGGTTGTGAGGTTTGAGACGCTAGTGCTTAGAATTAGAAGGCTGCCTGGAGCACAGGGAGGGCTGCGGACACATCTGGAACGTTAATTAATGGGGAGGCCACAGCCACCACTCGGTGCCTCCCCTGACCAGGAAAGGACATCTGTGTTTAAGACAGCCTCTGCCTTCAGGTGCACTTAAAAAAAATCAGCAACACGAACCAGAGGGAAAGCTTTTATCACTGAAAAACTGGGAGCAGACAGG